AGACAAAACAAGGGAAAAGTACTGGCTTCTGCACATTTATAGAATGATGAGTTTAACCTTAACAAAAGTTGCTTAAAAGTGTTATAAAATCTCACAGTATTGTGACTTGGGTTGACTGTGTTTGAGTTGCTTCAGTGAGTGGAGTCCTTATATGGTCACTTAGAATCTGTGTTAAATTAAGTCCTGATATGGTCGATAAACACTGTGGTGAATATGAGTTTAATTTCGTCCCCCGGCCCTCACTGAGTGGGGTCCTTATATGGACACTTACAATCAGTGTTAACCCTTTAGGCGCCAGAGTTTTTTCAAGAAAATGTACAATTTTGATTTCAAGATTTCAAAAGGCTATAACTTTAAAATGGTTTGAGATAAAGGCATACTGTAAATTAGAAATATCTTCAGTCTGAACCAAACTTTGGGATGGAAGTTGATTCGTCATCTAATTTGCATATTCTGACGTCATCAAGGTGGCGGCCATTTTGGAAAATGTTAATTATTGTATAAAGACTTCAAAAAGCTGTAGCTTGGGAGTTATTTGAGATCAAGGAATACTATAAACAGTAAATGTGAAATATATCTTTAGTATGAAATGAATTTGGGATAGAAATAAATTCCCTGATCCAGATTATACATAATGTTTTAGCACTGGTTTGCAGCCATATGGAATTTTATTATTTTCAAAGACCTTCAGTGATCAAGACTGCACTCTTTATAGTTTACAGTCATGAAATCTGGAGATTGGTTTCAATATTTCCCTTTCAAAGAAGTAGTGGGCATACTATTTTTCTCAGTGGAAATGAGGCTCCAGGATTTATCGTGTAGAAACAGAGAGATGAAATGAATGGGCTCAGAACATGTCAGATCGTCTCAACAATAAACAACAGGCTCTTCAACACTTCTGGTCCACTTTTGTGGATTATTTTCTCTCAAGAACTGCCTTCATCCTCATCATCACTGTTGGTAAAGGCAGTGAACGCAATAAGCGATGTGCTTTTTCCCGCGGCTTCTCCCGCGTCTTCCGCGATCCCCGCGGATGTCTACCCCGGCTACTTTCTCCCACATGCCCGGTGTTATGATGCCCCTGTCCCCTCGACCACGGCCCCTGCTTGGCGTTCACAGAATGCTTCTACCGCGGCCACACTGAGGACAAGCAGCCGCTGCACAGGGGCTGATTGTGGACTATGGAGCGCGGTCTCCCCGTCACCAATAATGTCCGTGTCTGCTTCACTGGACACCTGTGTGTCTTCCTCCTCTGAATCTGAGTGAGCCAGTACCAGACCAAGTACTTCTCTGGTACTGAAGACCTCGTGAGTAAAAGAAAAAAACACTCTCTCCCCAGTGGCGGCTGGTGGAATTTTCTACTGGGGGGGCTATGAATATGATGACTAGATATATACCAGCAGGGTAGGGATGCTTTCTGATCCCTACCCTGTAGCTTTCATCCAGCTGGGATGAAATATTTATCTTCCCAAACATAGCTAATTTGAGGGCATTTTGCATGTGGATACCAGTCTGCTCATGCTTCTTTTCTAAAAAGTGCTTCAGATCAGTCATACCTGTCTTGATCCATGCTGGGTCAGATCCTGATGTTTGAAACAAGAGGCATGGAAAGCAAAATAAAGCATTAGCCTCGCTACATGCTGCTAGCCAAGATTTGGCGCTGAACCAGGTCCTGGAAAAAGTACGAGTGTACCGTCCCCCCCTGTCGCTGGACTGCTGACTAATGGTAATATTTGGCTGATCAGGTCCAAGCTCTTTAACCTCAATCTTCTCCTGGTATGATCTTCTCTCAAACGGTATTGTTTTGAGTGATCTAACTGAATTATTCTTTTTCTCGTTCTCCATTTTGCGTCTCTTTACGTTCGTCTCAAACTCCCACAGCTTGACCTGTCAATCACTGTAAACGGACGTCACAGACAGTGACAGTACAGGTCGCGGGCGATCCCGCCCCCTCAGGGCGCACTTCTCCTGCGCCCCCAAATCGTCTTATCTCTTGCATTGAAGAGGAGCTACTGCGCATGTACAACTTTTAACGAGAGTCCATAGACGCCTCAGGGCGCAATCTTTTGCGCCCTGAGGCGGAAATACGTCCTCAGTCCGACACAGACAACGCTGATGAGCTTAATCAATCCAACTCAGCATAAACTATAAAGTATTTCTTCCACATCTGAAATAAAACACACATACATTTCGAAATATTTTAATGTTATTATTTTTTTTAACGTTTTATTCAAGGTAACATGGCAAGTTGTGAGTGGTGGGGCGGCGCCCTAGCGCCCTCTATTGGCCGGCCGCCACTGTCTCTCCCTCTGCTCTGCTCTCGCTCCTCTCAGCTCTACCGCTGCTGCTTCGCCTCCGCGCTGCTGCGCCGCAGGTGTTTTACGAACTCAATTTACTCAAAAACTTTCAATATAACCACACCCACAAATGTTGCTCATATTACAGGCACACATGTCCACTAACCCCTGGTGAAAAGTATTAACAAGATTCTGCTCCACATTTTTACATACAGCCTGTTTAAGTGAGCAATGTTGCTTGTCGCAATATTGCGACTTTGGCGCTTAAAGGGTTAAATTAAGTCCTGATATTTATATTTTCATAAGAATAAAAACCCAATTTCAATTGATTAAATTTGTTATATCCTACAGATGTCACCCAATCCTTATGGATATTTGGACAAAAAAGCCCGTCGAGATTTGGTCAAAAAAAGCCTCTCAAGATTCGGACAACAATGACTGGGATGATTCGGACTCAAACTATGATCAATATATTCCAGAGTCAGAGTCCAGTTCATCTGATGAAAGTATGGAAAGCATGGAATTGGAAAACATGAATGGTGAAGAACCAACAAATAACATTTTGAAAAATGTCTTGAGCACCGTGGACACTTCCATTGGTTCCAACAATGGTAGCTGTCATGAGGACACAACACAAAACCCCTGTCATAGTTCTTCAGATTGCGTAGTTACGTCATCCACAGACATGCCTACAGCTGTTGCACCAATGCCAGAAAAGGGAGGCAAGTACAATAAAAAGCAATACTGTGTTTTTTGCAGTAAGCCCTTCTCAAAGTTGGCAAGACATCTGGAATCTGTCCACAATAAGGAGCAGGATGTGGCCTTAGCGTTAAGTTTTGATAAGGGTTCCAAAAAACGGAGAGAGATGTTGCGTCTCCTCCAAAAGAAAGGAAATTTTTCCCACAATGCTACAGTGGCAACTTCTGGTTTTGGAGAGTTAGTTGCTTGTAGACGTCCAGGAACCTCACAACCATCCAGTACCTTTGTACATTGTAAGTTTTGTCAAGGACTTTATTCACGGAAATGCCTATGGAAACATGTCAAACGCACCCACAAGGACTCTTGGGAGGGAGTCTCTAAAGTAGGGCGAAAAGAGCTGTACTTGCATTTACCAAAACCTGCTTCAATCAAAGATGCTGTGTGGAAAATAGCTTGTGCCATGAACAATGATGACATTTCTGCCATTGTCAGAAGTGAAGAGGCCATTCTACAACTTGGGGAATCACTTTACAATTCACGAAAGCCTCAAGAGAAACGTCATGATAATGTACGTCAAAAAATGCGAGAAATGGCAAGACTTCTGATTAAGGCTAGAGCTATCACACCTTTGAAGAGCGTAGAAGATCTTGTGACACCAAAAAACTTTTGTCATATAATAAAGGCAGTAAAAGCAATCACTGGTTACAAAGAAGAAAGCATACACACTCATACACAGTCCCATCATTAGCATTGAAATTAGGACATAGTTTAATCAAAGTGGCAGGCATAATTCACTGCAATGCCCTCATTGAAGATCAAAAAGACCTTGCAGAGTCTGCAAAAAAATCTGGAATTCTATACAAGAAGAAATGGTGTGAATCTGTTTCATCTGCAGCTTTGGGCACACTTGAACAGGGCAAATGGAACAAACCACAGGTCTTACCATTCGTTCAGGATGTAACAAGTTTGCACAAGTTTCTTTCAGTTGAATCTGCAAAATCCATGAAAATACTTCATGAAGAACCAAACAAAAAACGCTTTGCAAATCTAGCAAAAATGACTCTGACACAAGTAATATTATTCAACAGAAGGCGTGAAGGTGAAGTATCAAAACTGGAGCTTCAATCGTACACATCCAGAGATCTTACAGATTTAAATCCAGATATACTTGCAACTCTGAGTGAATTTGAGAAGAAGCTTGCAGAACACTTCGAAAGAGTTGAAATAAGAGGAAAACGAGCCAGAAAGGTCCCTGTACTTCTAACTCCTGATATGATCACTGCGTTGGATCTTCTAACCAAAAAGAGAGAAAAATGCCAAGTTCCCAAAGAAAACATCTATGTATTTGCACGGCCAGAAGCACTGTCTTATTATAGAGGCTCAGACTGTTTTCGTGAATATGCTAAACTTTGTGGTGCTCAACATCCGGAAGCGCTTACCTCAACAAAACTTCGCAAGCAAGTGGCTACATTGTCGACTGTACTCAATATGAAAGAGAATGAAATGGACCAGTTGGCAACATTTCTTGGACATGACATTCGAGTTCACCGTGAATATTACCGACTACCTGAGAGTACTTTACAACTTGCAAAAGTTAGTAAACTTTTGATTGCAATGGAAAAGGGTATACTTCCAGAGCTCCAAGGAAAAGGGTTGGATGACATAATTATAAATCCTGGAGGTAAGATTCAAATATCTCTTCCACAAAGTAGTATTGGACACACTATAAATGTATGTATACCTATAAAATGTCTTCCAGATGATGTGGATAGCTGTGATTCTGGTGACGAAGGTGGTTCTAATGAACGTCATATAACAGGTTACCCAGGACTTTATGCAAATATTTCATGCTATTCAGTGATTGGGTGGTTGTGAGCCACCATGCACCTTTGCTTTACAGATTCATATTTTGACACTCTTTCTCCAGCGGGCACACCTATTCCAAACAGAGATGGCATGCCTACACCAACCAGAGATGGCACACCTACACCAAACAGAGATGGCATGCCTACACCAACCAGAGATGGCATGCCTACACCAACCAGAGATGGCACACCTACACCAACCAGAGATGGCATACCTACACCAACCAGAGATGGCATACCTACACCAACCAGAGATGGCATGCCTACATCAACCAGAGATGGCATGCCTACACCAACCAGAGATGGCATGCCTACACCAACCAGAGATGGCATACCTACACCAACCAGAGATGGCATACCTACACCAACCAGAGATGGCACACCTACACCAACCAGCCTACACCAACCAGAGATGGCATGCCTACACCAACCAGAGATGGCATACCTACACCAACCAGCCTACACCAACCAGAGATGGCACACCTACACCAACCAGAGATGGCACACCTACACCAACCAGAGATGGCATACCTACACCAACCAGAGATGGCACATCTACACCAACCAGAGATGGCACACCTACACCAACCAGAGATGGCACATCTACACCAACCAGAGATGGCACACCTACACCAACCAGAGATGGCACACCTACACCAACCAGAGATGGCATGCCTACACCAACCAGAGATGGCATACCTACACCAACCAGAGATGGCACATCTACACCAACCAGAGATGGCACACCAACCAGAGATGGCATGCCTACACCAACCAGAGATGGCACACCTACACCAACCAGAGATGGCACACCTACACCAACCAGAGATGGCACATCTACACCAACCAGAGATGGCACATCTAAAGCAACTAGAGATGGCACAGCTGAAACTCCAAGGCGCAATGTTCCCAAGAAAGGTATAGAAATATATTTTTTAGGAATCATTTTGATGTAATTCACTGACCTGGTGTAATTGATAGTTACCTAATGTAACTCACGTTCTACGAATGGTGCGAAGCCCCTTAGAAGAGGCTTTGCTATGGGTAAACTATAGCACTCCTCCCTGAGTGCGCCCCCCCTGGACATTAGATCTGCCCCTGTGTTCCTGTCTCTGGGAACGTGGCGTGCCCTGAGAGACAGCAGATTCGCATCTGCCCAGATCAGAATGAGAGCCGCCAGGCGATGGAGAGCGGGGGATCTCGTGCCCCCCTGCCTGTTTATGTAGGCCACGACGGTGGTGTTGTCTGAACGCACCATCACGTGCCTCCCCTGCAACAGCGGTGCAAAGTGCAGCAGCACCCTGCGCACTGCCTCCATCTCCAGTATATTGATGTGCGGAGATGGGTCTGACCAGAGCCCTCCCACGGAGCTCTGGCCCAGAACCCCTCCCCACCCCTCGAGAGAGGCGTCCATAAACACTTCCACGTGTGATACGGCGCCTTTTAGGGGAACCCCATCCCTCATCACACCCTGGGTGAGCCAGAAGCTGATGTCTGATCTCACCCTGGGGGGAACTACGAATACATACACACACGCACGCACACATACACATACTGTTCTCTCGCGCTCCTCTGTGTCACGGAAGCCAAAAGATCCTTGCATATACGCGGCTCCAGTTAAACCATATGGGAACATGTTTGTGCTGCTGGTCTTTGGCATCAGCTCCACACACATCACTTGTATCTAAACTTTAGCGGAGACCTGCGAGACTCGTCACTCGCTGCTCTGACCGTGTGGACGAGCCGTCATTTGCTGCTAAAAAGCTTTAACCCGCAGCACAAAAGAATAGGAAGATTATAAAAGCAGTTTTCTGTGCGCAAAGGTGCCGAGGCTGTTGCGGGTTTTGGCGCTGCTGTCTCGGCTCTGATCCAGTAGAACGCAAAGCTGCACTTATGAAAAGTATGCGGCTCGAAATGGCTGTTATTTCAAAGAATGTGGAATATTTTAAACTACGCGGTTAACCGGTTTCAACCGGTTAATGAGGCTCGGTGGCCGGTCATGAAAATTCATAGTTTTTTACATCCCTAGTCCCGGGAGGGGTGAATTCTGAGCCCGGAGAACCATCTCTGAAAACCTCATGTGGAGAAGGCCCAGACGTATAACCGCATGGGCAGCTGCCATCATCCCCAGGAGTGATCTGAGACAACGAGCAGACACCCTGGGGGCGGTCAGCGCCCTGGTGGCCAGCTGTGAGAGGTTCTCCTGTCTGTCCATGGACAGAGCCGCTCGGAACTCCACCGAGTCCAGCTGCAGACCGAGGTAGAGCGCGCGCTGGGCAGGCTGTAATCTGCTCTTCTCTCTGTTCACCACAAAACCCAGCTGTTGTATGTGAGACAGAACCCGGCGCGTGTGCTCCAGGGCCACTTCCCTGGACTGTGCCAGAATTAACCAATCGTCTATGTAGGTTAAAATTCTGACCCCCGCGCGTCTGAGCGGCATCAGGGCTGCCTCCACGCATTTTGAGAAGGTGCGAGGGGCCAGCGCGTACCTGAACGGGTCCAGAAAGGGGCGCACCCCCCCTGTCTTTTTGGGAACGTAAAGTATGGGGAGTACAGCCCTCTGTGAGCGTCCTGTGGGTCGACCTGGACCGCAGCGCCTCTTAGTAACAGGGAGGCTACCTCCTCTTGGAGAGCCTCCTCTGTCCCATGTCGCCTGGAGTTTGCCTGGAGTCCGGGCTGGTTCATAGGGGACTAACATGTCACTAATATATTTTGGTGCGAGGCTATGGAGAGATTTGTACACAAGCAGAGCTGTTTTAAAGTCTATTCTCTGAGCCACAGGAAGCCAGTGCAGAGACCTGAGGACTGGACTAATGTGGTCGTACTTCCTGGTTCCTGTCAGGACTAATGTGGTCGTACTTCCTGGTTCTAGTCAGGACTAATGTGGTCGTACTTCCTGGTTCTAGTCAGGACTCGAGCTGCTGCATTTTGAATGTACTGCAGCTGTTTTACAGCCTGTTTGGACAGACCTGTGAGCAGGCCATTGCAGTAGTCTAACCTACTGGAGACAAATGCATGGATAAGAATCTCCAGGTCTGCTTTAGACACTATGTTTTTGATCCTGGCAATGTTTTTTAGATGGTAAAAAGCTGCTGATGTTACTGATTTGATGTGGCTATTAAAATGTAAGTCTGAGTCCAGTATTACCCCTAGATTTCTGACCTTGTTTGAAGGTTTTAGGGAGAGAGACTGTAGATGACAGATGACGCTCTCTCTTTGTTTCTGGGGACCAAAGACAATCATTTCAGTTTTGTCTGCGTTTAGCTGAAGGAAGTTGTTTTGCATCCACTCACTGATCTGTTGGATACAGTGAAGGAGTGAGTCCACTGGTCCATGTTCTCCTGCAGTCAGTGAGACATAGATCTGAGTGTCGTCTGCATAGTTATGATAGGAAACTTCGTTTCTGCGTATTAACTGACCTAACGGCAACATGTAAAGATTGAACAGAAGAGGTCCCAGGATCGACCCCTGTGGGACTCCACAGGTCAGGGCCATATGATCTGAGACACAGTGTCCAATCTCCACAAAGTACTTCCTGTCTTCAAGGTAAGACCTAAACCAACTTAGGGCGGTGCCAGCGACGCCAACCCAGTCCTCTAGTCTCTGTAAGAGGATCTCATGGTCGACAGTGTCAAAGGCAGCACTCAGATCTAACAAGATTAAGATTGAGACTTTGCCTGCGTCAGTGTTCAGCCGGATATCGTTTGTAACCTTAACGAGAGCAGTCTCAGTCCTGTGGTGGGGTCTAAAGCCGGACTGAAACATATCAAATGAGTTGTTGATTATAAGAAATCTAGTAAGCTGTAGGTAGACAACTTTCTCAAGGACTTTCCCCATAAATGGCAGATTTGAGATGGGACGATAGTTGTTAAGTACAGTAGCATCGAGACTGCTCTTTTTTAGCAGGGGCCTGATGACTGCAGTTTTCAGGGCCTTTGGGAATATTCCAGAATGAAGGGACATGTTTACTATCTGTGTGAGTGAAGGTAACAGACTGCTCAGAACAGACTTCAGAAATCTAGTGGGTAGTACATCCAGGCTGCATGTGGAGGAGCTCAAACTGGAGATTATCTCTTGGACAGTTTTATCATTTACAGGTGCAAAGTAAGTTAGCTCAAAGAGCCTTTCTGGCTGTTGGATGGTTTTCTGTGGATTGGAGACAATGGCGTTTTTGATGCCTTGAACCTTGTCATTGAAAAAATTAGCAAACTCATTGCATTTACGTTTGGAAGTAAGCTCTAATGGCATTTGAACAGGGGGGTTTGTTAATCTATTAACTGTTTAGAACAGTTAATAGAGGGCGACAGTAGCTCAGTTGGTAGAGCATTGGCCTTAAGGCCAGAAGGTTGTGGGTTCAACCTCTGCACCTTCTCCACCGACTCCCACTGATGACTGCTGTCGTTGTGTCCTTGGGCAAGACACTTAACCCCACTTTGCCCAAAAGCCCCCACTGAAAGATCAAGGCTATGCTCACACTCAGAGAGCAGTCGTCCTCCTGTGGACTCACCACCTGCAGAGGGTCAGTGAGGGGCTGGTGCTATGAGACTTGGGTGGTCTCTCTGACTGCCACCCCCCTGACCCAGAAATGGATTAAAGGGTAGAAAATGGATGGATGGATGGATGGATGTTTAGAACAGAACACGCAGATTGTTGCTGCAGCCTTCAATCATTTCAGAAAAATACCTTTCTCTCGTACTACATAGCACCCGGTTAAACTCGCACAACTTATCTTTGAAGATCTTGTAATCAACCTTGAGGTTGGACTTGCGCCACTTCCGCTCGGCCCTCCGGTACTTTCTCTTTTGTGCCCTGACCGAGTCTGCTTTAGCCCACGGCGCCTTCTGCTTATTTTTCACTATTTTAACCTTCACAGGAGCGATGGTGTCCAGAACATTCAAAACACTAGAGGTGACAGAGTTAAACAGTTCATCTACAGTAGAATACGATGCATTCTCAAAGTTTATCATTCCCATAAATAGTTCACTCGTATTTTCATTTATGCGCCTTCTTCGAACAGTTGCAGAGTCCACTGGTGGTTTGTTAGTGAAACACATGTAAAAAGAAACACAGAAATGATCCGAAAGAGCAACATCGACCACGTTTACATTTGAAATATTCACCCCCTTTGTAACTAACAGATCTAGAGTGTGCCCTCTGCTGTGGGTGGGGCCACTTACATGCTGAGTGAGATCAAGGGATTCAAGTACAGAACTCAGCTCATTTGCATTTCTGTCATCAACATTATCCACATGAATATTAAAATCACCTGTAATAACCGAACTATCAAAATCTGTGCATACAACTGAAAGCAACTCGGTAAAATTATCAATAAAACTGTGACATGACTGCGGTGGCTTGTATAGGACAACAAAGAGTATTGGAGGAGATTGTTTTTGTTGTATTTTAAAAAAAACATATTCAAAAGACGGAAACTTCCCAAGAGACATTCTATGGGAGACAAAGTGGTCTCTAAAAATGGCAGCTAAGCCTCCTCCTTTTTTGTTTTCCCGTATTTCAGATTCAAATTTGAAATTTGGTAGTGATGCTTCTATTAAAACTGCATTTCCTGAATTTACGTCAAGCCAAGTTTCAGCCATGAACATAAGATCAAGATTATGAGAACAAATAAAATTATTGATTAAAAAAGACTTGTTACAAAGAGATCTGACATTAAGCATAGCAAGTTTCAAAGTTTCAGTATCAGCGGTTGTGGTCGGCTGATTCTTATACGGAACAAGAATTAGATTTTCCAGATTAGACTGATTAACTCCAGATGTCTTTCTGTAATGTATTCTTTGTGTTATCACTAAGGGAATGGCACAGGTGGCTTCATGACAGGGCCCCAGCCGGGTCTCTCCTCTAACT